TCGCAGTTCTTTAGTATTTTTGTTTTATTTTAAAAAAAAAACAGTGCTCAATACACAAGTAGAGCCTATATTATAATTATTTAAAAAAAATATGATTCAATCGTTACATAAGAGTTCTCATGTTTCAAAAACAGAAGCTAAAAAACTTAAAAAATTTAATTATAAAATTTTGAAATTTATGGAGCTTTATATGCATATACATTCGTAATATTATTTTCTATGGAAACAGAGAAAACCAATCATTATAATAAGGGGCGGTAGGGTTTACATTTTCACTGACAACTATTGTATCAACATATTAGTTACTTTCGAAGAGAATATTTAAAAAATAATTATATATATATATATATATATATATATATATAGTTGTATATTTAGGCAGCGATCCTTCCTTTATGCATGTTTCATTAAAAACAACAGATAAGGTACTACAACAAAGAACATTCATTTTCAACATATAAATATACGTATCTACTGTATAAACGTTATTGTCATATTTAGCTGGGTTTTCTTCCTTCACACACACACGCAGACATGAATATATATATATATATATATATATATATATATATATATATATATATATATATATGAAGAAATAGAGATAAAGTGCTCAATATCAGAGATTGAGCGTGTGTAAATATAAAAGTGAACAAAGAAGTCAACACTTAGAGGCGACAGTCTGTTTCATGCTATATGCAATCGTCAGGCCACGCGTGCTTTTATTTTTCTCGGCTATTTATACATATACGGGTCAGTGGTGCATTGTGGGTAATCTATTATGGCGGTTATTTTACCGGAAGTCGTTTATTTATTTATTTGGGTTAAATTATTTTCCTTGTTTTTATTTATTTTTATTTTTTGTTTCTTATTTTGTTTATTTATTTATTTTTTTATCGGTGTTTTTATTAACGTAGTAAAAGTTTGTTTATATCACTTATTTAATAGTCTCTGACAATAATGGATACTATAATATTTATTTTATCATCAACAATACTCTGATGTTGACATGGATATGTCGAAAGTACTTGGTAATAAAACAAACATGTATAAACACGACGATTTTCTCCCGTCATTCTGTAATGATATCAAAACACCTATCCGCAAGTACTGAATGGATCTTATCGAAAATAAGTAGACAGAATATGAGTGGGAAACGTCACTTCCTTTTTTTTCCATTTATTTGAGAAAAAAAAAAGACAGAAAAAATAGTACTTGTTGATAGCAGTTTGGTGATGAATGGATTGGGTGTTTAATATTAACTGGTCTGTGGAAATTTTTTCCTGGTCAAAAGTCCAGGCATATCATCTTACAAGCGTCCTAAGGGTAGAGGTAAGGAAAGATGGCGATGGGAATAGTATTATGTTTAAGTAGGTAAAAATTTGTAATTTGGAATGTTATTTTTGGTTTACTATAAAAATTCTGGAGCTATCAATTGTTTCACTCCGTCACTTATATTTTTTTTCTCAAACAAATGGAAAAAAAGGAAGTGACGTTTCACACACGGCTTGCCTACAAGCAGAATTGTTCATAACCATTTTCGATTCTCACTTGTCGAAGTGCAATTGAAATGCACTGAAACCAAGTTGCATCTTTGTAGCGAGTAAAATGGTTTTGTCTATATGATAAAATTATAATAAAGGAATATATATATATATATATATATATATATATATATATATATATATATATATATATATGTATTTCTGGGAAATCTACTTGAGCTCTCAAGAGAAAGGGAGTTTTAAAAGCAGTGACTCCTACTGCTATTAATGCATTACTCTTCAAGCATGAATTCAGTTCTCTCGGCCACTGGAGTCTTTCTTATAGAAAAAAAAAATGGTAAAATTTCCCTTCCTCTCTGCCATGCAATGATAGCCTAGGGTTAGAATCTCTGACTGATGTTAAATTGGTTTTGTTTTGATCCCAGCTTGAAGCAATTGGATATCTAGCTAAACTGAAGAGCTGTGATACAGTGAAACAGTCTATCTGCGGATGACAATATATATATATATATATATATATATATATATATATATTATAATTAAGTAATTCATTGAGTCTAGAAGAAACCTCAGCAGAATGCAGAAAGCACTGGACGGCCGTTTCCGCCTACATTTGGGACTCATCTGCAGTGCGCATCCACTACTGAGAATTGAAACCCGGAAAGTTACGTTATCAGACAAACGTCATATCAACTGTTCCAATGGGCCTCGCTGACGAAGAGGGAGCGAATCAGACTTGATATAGCACTGCTCCATCACATATTCCATGGTGGAACTCATCCCAGTTTCTCTTTTATCCATAGGACTGTGCTCCCACGAGTCACGACTACTATCACCAAGCCACCCCATCCAGAGCATTTAAAGACGGTTCAAGAAAGGATATACAAGTGATACAAATATAGGAGGAAACGGCCGTCCAGTCCTTTCTGCATTCTGTTGAGGTTTCTTCTAGACTCGATGAATTACTTAATTATACTTACCTCAAATCCTCCTACTAATTTCTATCACACACACACAAACACACACACACACACACACACACACACATATATATATATATATATATGTAAATAGATAGATAGATAATGAACAGACATAGGATAGATAGATAGATAGATAGATATAGATAGATAGATAGATAGATATAATGAACAGACATAGGATAGATAGATAGACATAGATAGATAATGATAGGATAGATGAGATAGATAGATAGATAGATAATGAACAGACATAGGATAGATAGATAGATAGATACATAGATAGATAGATAGATAGATAGATATAGATAGATAGATAGATAGATAGATAGATAGATAGATAGATAGATAGATAGATAGATAGATATAATGAACAGACATAGGATAGATAGATAGATAGATAGATAGATAGATAGATAGATAGATAATGAACAGACATAGGATAGATAGATAGACATAGATAGATAGATAGATAGATAGATGAATAGATAGATAGATAGATAATGAACAGACATAGGATAGATAGATAGATAGATAGATAGATAATGAACAGACATAGATATAGATAGATAGATAGATAGATAGATAGATAGATAGATAGAACAGACATAGATAGATAGATAGATAGATAGATAGATATAATGAACAGACATAGGATAGATAGATAAATAGATAGATAGATAGATAACAAAGAAGAAGATAAGAAAACTGTCAATCAAACCATTTTCTGTAAGATAACGCTTGTAACACAAGCATACATTGTTGTATAAAATGTTTATTTGTTCCTACTAATTATTTATAGAAGTTTTATTTTACATAGTTGGTAAATTAATTTATTAAAGTTTTATTTTATCCATTAGCCATATTGGTTATTTACATATATTTTTTGATATTATTTCTATAATATTTATATAAATTTAATATCAATCACCCTGTCATGCAAATCAGAAAACGAATACATTTAATCTTATTTGTTGTTCCATCTATCTATCTATCTATCGACATACATGCATATCTATCTACATATATACATACATACATATCTGTCTACATACATATATATCTACATATATTTATATATATATATATATCTACATATATATATACATGCATATATACATTTCTATCTACATACATACATGCATACATACATACATATATATCTACATACATACATACATACATACATATATATCTACATACATACATACATACATACATATATATCTACTACACATGTACATACATATCTACATACATACATACATATCTATGAAGAAAAATATGCAGAAAAACAAACAAAAATCCTAATATGCAATTATGCTGTTTTAATGTTAACTGCATAATTGCATATTAGATTTTGTTTGTTTTTTCAGTATATTTTTCTTCATACTGTCGGATCTATATCCATATATTTGCTTACATATATTTATATCTACATACATACATATATATCAATCTACACACGTACATACATATCCACATACATGCATATTTACATAAATACATACATACTAACATACATACATACATACATACATACATACATATCTACCTACCTACATACATATCTGTCTACATACATACATATACATCTATCTACATACATATCTATCTACATACATACATATATATCCATCTACACACATACATACATATCTATGTACGTACATATCTACATACATATATATCTATCTATATACATACATACATACATACATATCTGTCTACATACATACATACATACATACATACATACATATCTATCTACATACATACATATATATCCATCTACACACATACATACATATCTATCTATATATACATACATACATATCTGGCTACATACATACATACATATCTACCTACCTACATACATATCTATCTACATACATACATACATATCTGTCTACATACATACATATACATCTATCTACATACATACATATCTATCTACATACATACATATATATCCATCTCCACAGATACATACATATATATCCATCTACACAGATACATACATATCTACGTACAGGCATATCTACATACATACATATCTATCTATATACATACATACATATCTGTCTACATACATACATATATGTCTACATACATACATACATACATACATACATATCTACCTATCTACCTACCTACATACATACATACATATCTATCTATCTACATACATACATATCTATCTGTCTACATATATACATATATACATACATCATGTTCCTGTGTTATAAATGATTTCCCATGAGGAATGCTTGAATAATCTTCAGATCAGAAAAAAGAGTCCTGAACCATCACAACAAATTTGACAGTTGGGTCCAGAATGGAATAATCTTCAGATCAGAAAAAGCCCAATTCCCATTGTGATGTCTCAAGAGAATGAAACAATTCATGATCATGGGCACATCACCAACATATGAGGGGGGGGGGGTGCTCCCATGAGATCCAGAATGCTTGAATAATCTTCAGATCAGAAAAAGAGTCCTGAACCATCACAATAAATTTGGCTACCTGTGTTAATAAATGAGGGGGGGTGCTCCCATGAGATCCAGAATGCTTGAATAATCTTCAGATCAGAAAAAGAGTCCTGAACCATCACAATAAATTTGGCTACCTGTGTTAATAAATGAGGGGGGGTGCTCCCATGAGATCCAGAATGCTTGAATAATCTTCAGATCAGAAAAGAGTCCTGAACCATCACAATAAATTTGTTACCTGTGTTAATAAAATGAGGGGTATCCCCATGAATCCAAATTTGAAATGAGGGGGGTGCTTGAATCCAGAATGCTTGAATAATCTTCAGATCAGAAAAAGAGTCCTGAACCATCACAATAAATTTGGCTACCTGTGTTAATAAATGAGGGGGGGTGCTCCCATGAGATCCAGAATGCTTGAATAATCTTCAGATCAGAAAAAAATGCTTGAATAATCTTCAGAGTCCTGAACAATCACAATAAATTTGGCTACCTGTGTTAATAAATGAGGGGGGGTGCTCCCATGAGATCCAGAATGCTTGAATAATCTTCAGATCAGAAAAAGAGTCCTGAACCATCACAATAAATTTGGCTACCTGTGTTAATAAAAGTATAATTCACACTCCAGATTTTTTTTTAACGTTCACCTGATAAAACACTCAAAAGCCACTAAAGGCAGAGTGTTACTGAATGAGGTGTGTAATAAAAGGCGATAAGAATTGGTAGATATGAAAGTCTCAACCCTTGGCTTGAAGAGTTTAAGATTGTAGCATTTGAGGAAGCATTCACACCGGAGTCTGTCTCACAAAGCAGCAGTTCTGAGTGGAGTTCCTTGTTTAAAGTTAGAATATGAATAGAATGATGGTGGTTCGACGCCATGATCATTTCATTGGTTTTATTAGGTTGGTGTAAAAATAATGACGTAATAATGTCGTTTTTGGACGTATTTTTAAAGTAAAAAAACGACATCATTACGACATTATTTTTGCACCAACCTAATAGCTGAATTGGTAGAAAAAAACAAATGTAGATTGGCCGAACATTTGCCACAGAAATAGCCATAGAGTAGCAATAGGCTTGCAACACATAATGTTTAGTATAAAGCTTAGAAAAAATTTACAGTGTGAGATAGGCAAGAAGTAAGGCATGTAGCAACATCAGCATAGTAAAGGGCACTCCTTTAAAGGCAAGGAAGGGCAAAAATATTTTAAGTCAAGTGATAGCGATTGCTGTATGAGTCGTACGATTTTTGAATCAAGCAACAGGAAATTTTAAAGGCTGTTTAGGTTAGAATTTGTTTTATTTAACTACAATTTTAAATACAACTTTAAAATATTTTCACTGTTAATTTTAATAGACTATTTTTTTTTATAGTATATTAACATTAAGAGTGAAAATATTTTAAAGTTGTATTTAAAATTGTAGTTAAATAAAACAAATTCTAACCTAAACACCTCTCTCAAAGTACTACAAGCACTTAAAAGAATCCAATAAAACATTTACAGTAAAATGAAATTAATATGAAAAGCTAGAAGATGTAAGCCATTGAATGACCCATGTCCTTTATACTTACATGAGAAACTATATATTACTGGATTTATATAAAATATATAAGAAATAAAAGTTTACTAAATCAGAGAAATTAATTAGCTATTTTTGCTGTCATTGTCAAAAATTTTACTTAAATAATATTTAAATATATATAAAAAAATTGTGACCTAGTAATATACATACTTATACTTGATGTGAAAATAATTTTACTTACTGTAAGTGATTCTAATACATTTACTTGTTTTAAAAAGAAATATAGTATATTAAAAATTAAAAGGAAAATTTTAAAAAATTGTAGTTAAATAAAACGTATTCTAACCTAAACATCCCCCAAAAATCTTTAAGTATACAAATAGAAAGAATTTTTGCTGTTAACAATAAATTAAAAAAAAATCCAGACGACATTCATTTAACGGATGTCAGAATTCATTGAAAAATACATCCCTACCCCTACCAAAACGTAACTAATAACTGATACATCAAAATACAGTGATAATGAACACTCAAACACCCCTTGTCTGGATGAATAGATTTCTCTGTATCCTTGGAAACGTGAATTATGATTTTTACCGTGCCTTTAAAACCCAGTAAATTTAAAAATAAGTTACTCCAAAATTCGCTTGAGGATGAAATGGAACTAATGTCTTTAATTTAATTACAAAATTAAATTTGAAGCTTTTAGCTTCCATTTTTGAAACATGGTTAGAACTGTGTAGTGAAAAAACATATTTTAAATCAATTAATTTATAATATTAATGCTTTGTAAATTTACATTGAGCACTATTTTGTAAAAATAAAAATATCTATAAGAACACCGGATTATATATCTTACTGTTCTTTCTTTATATATATATATATATATAATTATTCATTTAAAAATTATAACATAAATATGTTATAAAATCACTAAAAAAATAGCCATTTTGTTTCAACACCTCCAGTGTCTTATCAAGTGATGATGTTGAATGTCTACTCTGCATTGAGCACTCTTTTAAGAATAATAATTGTTGGTTATTGGAATTTATTCCGTATACAGCAATCATATACTTTGATATATATATATATATATATATATATATATATATATATATATATATATATATATATATATATATATATATATATATTTGTGCAGTAATCCTCTTTTATACAAGTTTCATTCAAAACGATTGACATTTTCTATTTGATTATAAATTATGAAAGCATTATTAATAAAAAAATAAACATGGCCACAATGTGCTGATCGTGTTTGGAAGATAAAACATTCCTATAACTCTAGATACAAACATAAAACAATCCATACATTCAGTTCAATGTAAAAATAAAATTATTCTTGATAATGTCTAAAAGTTTATCTGAAAGTAGTCGAACATACAAAAAAATTGGACAATTTTCACATAATTTATGTCCAGAAAAAAAACCCCACTTATACAAAGGCAATAAAAGCTAAATCACAGTACATTGTCAGTTGTCTATAATGAAACTTGTATAAAAAGAGGTACTGCTATCCAAATGCAAAATATTTGTGTATTTAGGCAGCAATCCTTTTTTCATGCATGTTTCATTGAATACGACAGACGTGTTTTGATTTAGTTTTTTATACAATATTTCATTTGATCTTATTGTTTTTTTTTCTAAATTATACAAAAACTGTCCAATTGTTCTTTCTTTCCGAGTGCTTTTGGCTATACATTTAGACATTTTCAAGGTTGAGATACATTAAGTGTTAACAAAAAAATAGATTGTTATGTATATGTATTTATATAATGTTTTCAAAACAAGGCTAGTCTGGGATGTATAATCCCATGAAAATTCCCACTGACTGAAATGCTTCAGTCATGTGAGTTGCAAATTCTGCCGTAGGCAGAGAAAGTGATTACTTTTTACAATTCCTTTTAAAAATTCAATAATTAAAAATGGGTAAAGTACGTTGGATAACACAGTTTTCATCAAATTTTGTATGTAAAAAAACAAAAAAAAAAACAGGCAAATATATAAAAACATCTCAACTGAGTTTTAAAAGCCAGTGATGACAATTTTGTTAGTGTAGTGCCCATCAAAACTGATAGGATTATTTACTTATGAAGCTTAGGAAATTTTTTAAACCTCACTTACAAAGTAAATTACAATGTACATGGTGTGATGGGTAAATTGTTGCCATTTTATATTTTTACTTTTGCACATGTGAGTTGTTTGTTTTTGATTTTGTCGACTGCATAACTGATAATTTTTTGTCTAAATTATGCAAAAATTAAAATAACACTGACACCTCATTTAGTAGGGTCAGTTGGGCACCATTTTTCTGCAAGAAAAAGAGTGCAATGATGTAATTCACTTTGCCAGAAATTTGGAAACAGCATGCTGCACTGCTTGGAATTTGCACCAGAAGCTCCAATACAAACATTTCAGAGTGTTTTGATGTCAATCTGAGAACAGTGCAGAGGATTTGTAAAGAGATTATGAAGCTCGGAAAACTCACTCTGATCGTACTGATAAGAAAAGAACTCCCGAATTTGTTGGTGAGAGCCTCAGACTAAACACAGAAGCCTACATCAAGTGCCTTGAGGAGTTAGTGCTGCTCTGGATCAAGATGGTGACTGTTGGAAGACCCTATGTCTGGCAACAGGACTCTGCACCATACCACCCAAGCAAGCTATGGCTGTCAAACAATTTCAGTTACAACATCACCCCTTACATCTGGCCACCTAACCGCCTGAGACTGTAAACCACTTGATTATTATGTGTGGGTTATATTTGAGCAAGAGACCAATAAAAATCCTTGTAACAGCTTTGAGGAATTGAAAGCAAGGATTATGGCAACATTCATCAACTTAAACAAGGAAACCATCCAGAAGAGTTGCAGGAGATTCCGAAGTCATCTGGAGGCCGTGGTTGAAACCAATTGCTATTTTATTGAATAAATTTACTCTTTCATATTTCAAGATATTTTTGTGTAATTTTTGGTAAATATATCTGTTAAAATGAGTTGTCAGTGTTATTTTTATTTTTGTGTAATTCAGACAATTTATAAATCACACTATGTATATATATATATATATATATATATATATATATATATATATATATATATATATATATTATTATTATTAAAATGTTTTTATTATAATAGATTACAATGTTACATTGCTACACAAAAACTTTCATGTTTTGGAACTATACTCGTTCTTCTTTGGGCAATGCTTGATAACATATAATAAAGATGATTTATTTGGGAAATTTGAAAACAAATCGTTACCTCCTTTGAAAATTAAAAGTAGGGTGAAAACCTAATGTCAGAATTAACAAATACACTTGTGGGTATGTCTGGATTAAACAATTAAAAGTCAGATCGAAGCAAAATAGAAAAATGAAAAATAAGGTCAGAGGGTAGATGAGGTGGGTTATTAAATCATGTCTTGATAAATTGACACTCTAGACAAGTCAGCGGCAAATATATTGTAGCCAAATACAATGTTCAGATTTGGTGAAGTGGAGATAGAGTTACCTTGAACAAAAAATTATTTTTAAGGAATTTTCAAATTTTTTTTATACTATAAAAAGTTCTTAAAGGGACTAAATAGGTAAACTTAAAAAAAAATGATGGAACTTTAATATACAGTACTAATTATATTGAATGGACAGTAAAACAAGGTAATATTAAATTTTAAAAAATCAAATAAATATTGAGTGGACCATTATAAACTTATAAAATAATGGCTATGTAATTGTAATCCATAAAATATTTATCAAAAATTTAAACGATGCCTACATAATATCATTAATTCATTTCTTTGGTTTAGGAGAACTTTATTTTTAGGAAACTTTTAAGCTTTTCTTTCTAAATACAGGGGACATGGGTCATATAAGGATTTACAGATTCTCGTTTATATATATATATATATATATATATATATATATATATATATATATAATTATTTTTTTTAAAATATGATTCCTTTGCTAACAAGCCCCGTTTCATCCTTTTTAATAATTATATTGATGGTTCTGACTCTCGTTTTTGAAACATGAGAACTCTTACCCTGGATTATTTACCTAACATGTTCTTTCCTAATTTTCCTCATAACTGCACACACACACACACACACACACACACACACACACACACACACACACACACACACACACACACACACACACATACATATATATATATGTGAGAAAATAATATATAAATTTTTATATACCAACAATTTTAGAAAAATCTATGACAAAGTGAAAAAAAGTTTAATGTAATATATTTCATGCTTTGGGACTTAATGAAGGAAAGGTGATTCTGGAATTTAAAATTTAAATAAATAAATTAAAAAGAAATATGTTTGGGTTAAGAGTGTGAAATTTGACTAGCGGCTCAAGTTGTCATTCACTGAGGGTAAAACGTTTTTAGGTTGGTCTAGTTTGTCTAGGCATTGAGCACTAATTTACTGCAATATAGTGGCTTGGACTTAGGAATCGGAAAGCTGACTTCAAATTCCAGTCATATCCATTACATTCACTTACGTGCTTGGAGAAGGTATGAATCCTCTTCTTCTCCCCACCCAGCTATGGGTAAATAGCAGGACAGACCGCGTTCTATAGCCTTGGATGGCAACTGGTCTACCACAGAAAGAAATGGCAAACTACTGTGGGAAAAACATTTGCCTCGTCAGTTATGTATCAAAAGATACATGATCACCTAAGCGTGTATTATGGATGAAATATAACTGGTATGTGTTTGCCTTTTCGTCTTTTTTTTTTCTTTTCTTGTTCAGGACTTTTTTCTTGTTTAAAGTATTAGGTCTTTTTAACTTATGCATTTAATTGCATTTTGACTGGTGACAATTCTGTTTGTAAGACATGCAGCTTGCTTCCAAACACAATTGTTCATAACCATTTTGGTTCTCACCAGTCGAAGTGTAATTTTAAATGCACCGAAACGAAGTTGCATCTCTGTAGTGAGTAAATTGTTTTTGTCTATATGAAAAAAATTATAATAAATAATTATTGCTCTACTATCGGTATTGAGCCCTCTTTTGAATTAATGCTGTGAACGTTAGAATTTATATACAATTTTCATTCATTGCATTCAGATATAGTCAAACCTGGCTCTCTAGGTTTAACTAGGTCTGCTCTACTTTTGTATTGAGCACTTTTTTAGTTAGTTGATTACTCGTATCGGTTTTTTTTCTTTGGCTTTGGACCTGTATGCTGTACGATTATTTTTGACAGACGTTCATGTTCCTAGCTCTTTCTTTTTTTAAAACATTTTTTTCGTTCGAAATTGATTTGATCATTAGCAAATCAAGAAACCGAAGGTTTTCTGAGACGAGTGCAGTTACCTATATATATATATATATATATATATATATATATATATATATATATATATATATATATATATATATATATATATATATATATCCATACTGATATTGAGTGCTTTCCAATAAGTAATAATATATATATATATATATATATATATATATATATATATATATATATATATATAATCATGCACACACACACAAACACACACACACACAAACACACACACGCGTGCACGTGTTTGTGTGTGTGTGTATGTGTATGTACTGATATATTTATGTATTTATATTCCTACTTTGTATGAGTGTGTAAGTGTGCATATTCTGATTTGAATGAGCATTTGCCATTCAGCAATTATTTTTTACCATCTAAAAATTTCTATTTGTTTAAAGCATCACAGAAGACTGGAATTCTTTACCATTTTGTCTTTAATAAATTCTTCGAGCCGAAATGCTTTCTTTTTAGCACTTTTTATTCGTCTTGCTTCTCATGTCTTTCTTCAAATTTCAATTTATTGTTTTTATTACATCTGACATTTTCGCCTAACACCGATTCGTTATCTTCCATCGGGTGCAGACTTTGGGAAACCCTGGATTCCAACAGCAAGAAAAACTTTCTGAAAAATGATGCTGTTATTTTAGATTGTCTGGGAAATTATCATTTCTTTTTTTTTAGGCTTAAATCTCCAGGGAGTCTGCTAGAATACAAAGGCAAGGATTTATAAAACTTATGAATTTTCCGCACATTTTGAGATGAATGACAGAATTCATGGAATATTTTTACAGATAAAGAGGAAGGCCAAAACACAAAGAGTATGAAGAATTTTAATAAATTAATGTTAATATGAATATTAGTCATTTATTTTCATTATTTTATTTATTTCTTTTTATTTCATGATTTTATTTATTCCTATTTTTTTGTAAAGATTATATAATTACATTGAAAGACTTTCATGGTCTGGAAAATATTTCACGAATCCAATAAAAATAGTTTGATTAAAAATATAACCAATCTCTCGATGTACAAAGAGAGACAGGAGAGAAAGATATGTAGATGGATATTAAAAATAGACAGGCAGATATTAACATGTTGAGAAAGAATGAATGAGAAACAGAATGGGATGGCTGGTTATCTATCTATCTATCTATCTATCTATCTATCTATCATATCTATCTTATCTATCTATCATTATCTATCTATCTCTATTCATTCATTCATCTATCTATCTATCTATCTATCTATCTTATCTATCTATCATATATCTATCTATCTATCTATCATCTCAGTCTCTGCATTCATATTCATATCTATCCATCCATCCATCCATCTATCTATCCATCTATCCATCCATCCATCCCGTATCATTATCCATCCATCTCAGTCCATCTCCATCCATCTTCATCTCCATCTCCATCTCCCATCTATCTCCATCCATCCATCTCCATCTCAGTCTCCATCCATCTATCCCAGTCCATTCATCTATCTATCCATCCATCCATCCATCCATCCATCCATCCATCTCAGTCTCTGCATTATCTATCTATCTATCTATCTATCTATCTATCCATCCATCCATCTATCTATCTATCTATCTATCTCAGTCCCCATTCATTATCCATCCATCTATCTATCCATCTCCATCCATCCATCTATCTCCATCATCCATCCATTCATCATCCATCTCCATTCATCCATATCTATCTATCTATCTATCTATCCATCCATCTATCTCTATCTATCCATCCATCCATCTATCTATCTTATCTCAGACTTTCCTCATCTATCTATCTATCTATCTATCCATCCATCCATCCATCTATCTATCCATCTATCTCAGTCTATTCATTATCTATCTATCTATCTATCTATCTATCTATCTATCTCATATTTTGTTTGTACATAACTATCCATCTTCATGATCTATATATATCTGTGTGAGAGTTTTCTATCTATCTATCTGTTTATCTAGCTTGGTGTTTGTGTGTGTTCATCCATCTGTCTATCTATATAGATAAATGTTTCTTTTTAAGTCTATTCATCTTTTCTACATCTATTTTCATATCCCTATATCTATCTATGTATCTACATAAGAATTTTCTTCTATCTATCTATCTATCTATCTATCTCAGTCTATTCATTATCTATCTATCTATCTATCTATCTATCTATTCATTCATATCTATCTATCTATCTATCATCCTCTATCATCCAGTCTCAGGTATCTTCATCTATCTATCTATCATCTATCTATCTATCCATTCATCTATCTATCTATTCATTATCTCTATCTATCCTCTATCCTATCTATCTATCTATCCATCCATCTCTCATTATCTATCTATATCTATCTATCTATCTATCATCTATCTATCTATCTATCTATCTATCTATCTATCTATCATCTCTCTATCTATCTATCTATCTATCTATATTTTGTTTGTACATAACTATCCATCTGTGTATGATCTCTATATATCTATCTGTGTGAGAGTTTTCATAACTATCTATCTGTTTATCTAGCTTGGTGTTTGTGTGTGTTCATATCCATCTGTCTATCTATATAGATAAATGTTTCTTTTTTAAGTCTATTCATCTTTTTCTACATACCTCACTATTTTCATATCCCTATATCTATCTATGTATCTACATAAGAATTTTCTATCTATCTATCTATCTATCTATCTATCTATCTATCTATCTATCTATCTATCTATCTATCTATCTCTCTGTGTGTATATATGTGTGTGTGTATGTGTTTGTGTGTGTGTGCATGTTTGTGTGTTCATATCTCTGTTTCATTTTCGTCGTTATCTATTTATCTGTCTAACTCTCCCTTTCTCTCTCTATTTCTAAATATATGCGTGTGTGTCTGTGTTTGTGTGTTCATATCTCTCTATCCCATTCTCTTCAGTATCTATCTATCTATCTATCTATCTATCTATCTATCTATCTATCTATCTATCTATCTATCCCCCATTCTCTCTCTATCTGTATATATATATGTATGTGTGTGTGCGTGAGAAAGAGAGAGAGAGTGTGTGTTTGTGTGTTCATATCTCTGTCTCATTCTCTTCATTATCTATCTATCTATCTATCTATCTATCTATCTATCTATCTATCTATCTATCTATCTACTCCTGCTCAAAATCTTAAGACCAGATACAAAAGGGTTAAAAATTATAAAATACTGTTGCTTTAATCGAAATATATTTGCAAAGCAAATTTTATTAGAAAATGTAGTTTATCAACAAACAAGTGAACATTTTAAGCTTTTAATTGATTAATTAAAAAAAAAAAACATTGAAAAAAGGATGTTTTTGGTTGGTCATAAAGATAACAGCATTTAAATAAAAATAGCAAATACAGAACAAATAAGCCACATTGACAATTCTCAATATATCCTCTATTTTTGCAAATTACTTCAAAAATTTGCTTTGGCATACTCATTATTAACTTCAGCATGAGTTTGTGCTTGGGATGTTCGCCCAGGATGCATAAACTGCAGCATGAAGAGCATCCACAGTTTCAAATTGCAATTCATGTTCATAGACATCATTTACCATCCATCCTCAAACATTCTCGATTGGGTTTCGATCTGGAGAGCATTGTAGATTGCAGTGTTGTCCTGCTGGATAATCCAGCTTTTTCCATATCGATGAAGGCTTTCAGTAATTAGCAATGCCTTTCTTAACATGTCAATGAAACTAGCAGCTGTTTGACGACTTTTTACCTCCTGTAACTCAAGAGTTCCATTGTATGAAAAAGATTCTCAGACAATAATTGATCTACCCTCACTGTGTCGTCACACTGAAAACCATCTGGGCTATCAAGATTGAAATTTTTTCTCATCTAAAAACAACACTTTCTTCCATTTATCCGCATCCCAAGTTTGATAATTGGAATCAAATTGTAAACTGGAGTTTTTATGGTAAAGAAGAAGGCGAGACCTCAGCAGTTGTTTCAAGTTATAAATACCTTTCTTATTTAAATGCTGTTAAATTGTTCAAGAGGTGCATTCAGCATCTGTATTCGCTTTTATCTGATTTGATGTTAGGCTTGAATCTCTTTTAACTTCTCGCCTAATGTGTCTGTCTAGAAATAATGAGATTTTATTGGGGCGACCACTTGATGTTTTAGAAGCATAGGCATTTGGATTTTTAATGAAGTTAGCAATGAAAGTTTTGCTATGGTCAATTTCATTTGCAATGGCTCATTGCGAAAGACCACGTCTTTGAAGTTCAACAAGCCTACCCTGTTCAAACTTTGTTAAAATTTTACCCTTAGCCATTTTAAAATCTGAAATTTAATACTGGAAATGAGCTATGTAGACGTCTACACACCTGAAGCTATGAGTACATTGATTAGTTCTAAAATTTTTGTCCAGAAATTTGTTTTTTTCACACATGGTCTTATCTATTGTCCGAATCTTTGTCGCCATATTTCTTTTATTAACATACCAGCTATTGTACACTCTTCTTAAGGTGGTTGGAATGTCGAACTGAACTCTTCATTTCGCTCACTGGGTTAGACTGTTCTAGTTCAATGTGGCATGTTTAATGGATGTCAGTTATCAGTTATCTCCTCTTAATTCTCCTCACCAAGTTCTCCACCGCCTTAACCAGGTATTCAACTCATACTCTTTGGGCCCTGTCACTGGATCTAACTAACACCTTTATCCACTGTGCCATGTGTCCTTGTCAAAAATATGGCAACAAAGACGAGGACAATAGTTCGAATAATGTAAATAGTGTGCATAATACCTCATCTCAGAAATATAGACAGATACTGAAAGGCCGAAACGTTGTAATAAATATGGCGACAAAGATGAGGACAATAGTCCAAATAATGTAAATAGTGTACATAATACCTCATCTCAGAAATATAGACAGATACTGTTTACTTTGCCAAGTACAAAAGTCTGTAAATATAATCACATGCTAATTTATTTATCGTGATAATCAATTTCTAAACAATTATTTGCCTGTCTATATTTCTCAGATGAGGTATTGTAATTATTTACATTATATACATTGTTCACACTGTTGTCCTCATCTTCATGTTTTCGGCCATTGTACATTCCGGTCTTCTTCAGATGATTGGAATTTCCAACTGAACCCTTTATTTCACCCATCAGGGTAGATTGTTCTAGTTCCATGTGCCATGCCTCTTCTGGATATCTCAATCATCTCCCTTGAATTTAACTGTACAAGGGTTTTTGTTTATATGTCCCAGTTTATAAGTCCCAACAATTCATACACTGATGTTCTCAAGGACATGTCGCCCAGTGACCTTACCCAAAGAGTTGTGAGTTCAGTACCTGGCTACTGCAGTGGTGAACAAAAAAACTTGAAGAGTTGAGTTAAAGGGAGATAACTGAGACATCTGGAAGAGGCATGTCACGTGGAACCAGAACAGCCTACCCCAGTGGATGAAATAAAGGGTTCAGTTGGAAATTACAATCATTTGAAGTAAAGTTTCTCATTTCTAATTATTTAACACCTAGTAAACCTTTGTGTCTTAGGGGCTTTACAGCTTTTTATCAATTTCACTCCTTACTTGGGGTAAAATCGATAAAAAAAATGTGTACCTATTTGATTATGTGTAAAGCAGTTCCATTGTGACACTTATGCAAACCAACCTACATCTTCTCTCTTTGACCCTTGGGTAAACAAAACCTACTTCCACCTTTTTGACTGTCATGCGGAGAAGACCTATGTCTATTGTTTTTACTCTCATGGAAACTGGGCGATCATCTTCTCTCTTTGACCCTTGGTAAACAAAAGCTACTTCCACCTTTTTGACTGCCATGTAGAGAAGACCTATGTCTATTGTTTTTATTCTCATGGAAACTGGACGTACATCTTCTCTCTTTGGCCCTTGGGTAAACAAAAGCTACTTCCACCTTTTTGTCTCATGCAGAGCAGACCAATGTCTATTGTTTTTACTCTCATGCAAACTGGACCCACATTTGTCTGTTTTACTTTTCTTGAAACCATACCTATGCCAACTTTTTGGACTCTCATGCAAATCAGACCTACGTTTACCATTTTTGAATATTGTGCCAATCTGAAGCTATGCCTACTTATCTACTGTTTATCAAAACGGTAGAATGTGGCATTAAATAACCTGGAAGTGGTTGACATGCTGTTAACAAGCCAGATCTTCAGTTGAGGTAAAGTATTTGGCTACTTATCCCCTGTTAATTCGCCTCTTCAAGTTCTCCACTGCCTTAACCATGTATTGAACTCACAACTCTTTGGGTCCTGTTACTAGATCTAACCAATGCCTTTATCCACTTAAGGACATAATGCTCATTCAATAAAGGTGTACATAATACCTCATCTTAGAAATATAAACGGATACTTCTCTGCTGTTCATCAAAATGGTAGAATGTGGCATCAAATAAACCGGAAGTTGTTGACATGCCATAAACAAGCCAAACCAAACAACTATTGCCCCCTTTTATGTGGAATTTGTCTCAACACAGAAAGTAATTCTTGCTTGTTTTGCCATTTCCTTTTCTTTTTTTATCTCCTAATAAAATCTAATCTGACTTAAGTACAATACCTAAAGTTTAATGCAATTAATATCATTATTATTATTGTTTTCATTTCGTTCATAATTAAGTCCTGACCAACAGACTAAAGGCTACAAATTCTAGAAGATGAGTATAATGGAAGAGTGAGAGTAGTGTTTATTCACTAAAATGCCAAATATAAATTTAAGAAAAGACGGTTGTGACAGGGAAAGATACGACTACTACTACTACTATTACAACAAGTACTACTACTACTATTACTAATTGTAATAGTAATAATAATAATAAAATGAAGAAATAGAAAGAAAAAAAGAAAGAAAGAAAGAAGGAAAGAAAGAAAAAAGAAAGAAAGAAAATGAAAGAAAGAAAGAAAGAAAGAAAAAGAAAGAAAGAAAAGAAAGAAAAAAAGAAAGAAAGAAAAAGAAAAAAGGAAAAAAAGAAAAAGAAAGAAAAGAAAAAAAAAAAAAGAAAAAAGAAAGAAAGAAAAGAAAGAAAAAGAAAAGAAAGAAAGAAAAAAGAAAAGAATGAAAGAAAAAAGAAAAAAAAAAAAAGAAAGAAAAATGAAAGAAAAAAAAGAAAGAAAGAAAGAAAAGAAAGAATGAAAAAGAAAAAAAAAAAAGAAAAAAAAAAAGAAAAAAAAAGAAAGAAAGAAAGAAAAGAAAAAAAGAAAGAAAGAATGAAAGAAAAAGAAAAAGAAAAAGAAAAAAGGAAAGAAAAAAAGAAAAAAAAGAATGAAAAAAAAAAGAAAAAAGAAAGAAAAAAGAAAGAAAGAAAGAAATAAAGAAAAAAGAAAGAAAAAAGAAAGAAAGAAAGAGAAAAAAGAATGAAAGAAAAAAAGAAAGAAAAAGAAAGAAAGAAAGAAAAAAGAAAGAAAAAAGAAAGAAAGAAAGAAAAAAAAAAGAAAGAAAAGTATTTTATTTTACTGTATTTTTGCCCCCTGTTGGAATGTCTTGCAGGCAAGCGACATCAACCTGAAATCTATTTCTAACCAAAGAATTTGGAAAATGTTATTTTAGCATCAGGACTTTGCTACAAGTTTGCTCGCCATTGTATAATTGAATTCCAACCTTTTGTAACTTCTTGCTCTGAAATGCAAACGAGGCAAAGGGTGGCGTGTTGCAATGTGTCTGGTCGGGTAGGAAGGAATGCTTGGCAGAAGTGGTTAATAGAATTTAAATAAGCGAAAACAAATTTAAAAAAGGAGAGGGAAGGCACAAGAACATGCATCAGTTTCTGATAAAGAAAATTCCGTTAATTTCGAAAGCTGGGTAAACAATGTCTTCCAAGAACATCAACAGGTTTGTATATTTTTTTTTGTTGTTTTCAGACAAGTAATATGTCGTCAATGAATGTGTATTGATAACTGAAGATCATTCAGATTAATTGTACAGCTTCTTCTGCCCGCCACTTCTCCAGATGATTAGAATGCACATACTTCTGTGAGGACAGGGTTAAAATCCTCACTACTTTGATTAAATAAATAAACATTTATAATAATCACCCCCCCCCCAAAAAAAAAAACACAATCAATTTAAAATGACAATATTATTAATGACTAGCAGCATGGCCCGGCGTTGCCCGTGCTTGATTCAAAAATTGTAAGACTCATACAGCA